TTTTGTTGTTAAAATGTGTAGGAATGGTCAAGTTATTAGACAAAGGAGTCGAGTATCAGTGACGAAATCTTGGTGTAACCTCTGGAGTGTTATAAAGTGTTTCTATGTAGCTTAAGTCTATCTATGTCCAACAAAACCAGCTAAGGAAGGAGCTACTGCCCAACTTTGTTTGAAAGAATGTGTTGCACGTTGACTACCTCAGCTTACGTGGCAAAAAAGTTTTGATATAATATTTGATTTTTTTTTTTATTCAGGTACAATAAAATCACTTTCTACAATTTGGACTTTTATTTAGATTGAAAATCTAATCGTTTTAGAATGTATGAAGAAGTTTGAGTCATAGTTATATAGAGAATGTTAATTCTTCCATATGCGTTGAGAATGGTTTTTCTTTTTTGTTAGCTGCAAAATTTAACAAATCTGTGCTATGTCCACCACAGGTATCGAAGCCTAGTTTTTAGTATTATAAACCCTCAGACTTACCGCTAAGCTACAGAGGAGCTGCGTTGAGAAAGTGGTAATTAATGTAAAACATTTATGATAGTACTGTGCGTGGTAAAAAAAACAACAACAACTGTAAGTTATTTATAGATTCAATATTTTAGATATGAATTCTGATTATATTTATCTCGGAAAATGTTATGAGTTAAGCTTTTTTTTAAAAAAAATAACGACGTTATGAAAAGTTTCTGAATTTAACATTTTGAAAAGTGTAAGTGCAAACGTTTAAAAAATTAATGATTTTGAAATATTTGTCGCATGTTTAAATGTTTTTACCAACAAGTTTTTTTATACTGACAAGTAATAAAAAACATTTTGTAAATGTAAAATGATGTAGGGATTGCAGTACCAAAAATAATGCAAGCAAGAATATAGGGATGATACAGCTTTCAGTATTAAAAGTTAATGTTACACTGTAAAATGCACTAGTACAAAATGGTTACGAGGTCGGTCAATTCGACGGGTCTTGTAGCGAGAGTCTGTAATAATATATAATAATCAAGACGTATTTTGGTTTTTCTTGTACTTAAGTCCTAGGCTCTTAGTTACAATACATTGATGCTTACCCTGACATAACCATGATATTATTATAAAC